GTGTGTCGGGGATTGAACTCAGGACCTTGCGCTCATGAGGCAGGCGCTGGAACCACTGAGCTAAATCCCCAGCCCTTGAGTTTTGTTTTTTGTTTGTTTGTCATAGATAGGCTTTCACTGAGTTGTAGTTTTGTTTCCAGCTTTTTAAAAATTTGGCTTTATTCTTTGAGAATCTTTCAGCGTCATTAAAAATTATTTGAACAAAAAAAAGAATTATTTGAACACATCTCTTTTGGTTTCATAATTGTAACACATCCATACTATGAAATAGTGATTTAACATTAATGTTGAGACAATTACATTGCTTCCATCTTTTTGTATAAATGTATCTTTAGAGGATTCATTGTTTATGATCAGCTCCTAAGTGGAATATTGCCTTTTATTAAAAATGCAAATTTTAAAATTATATATGTTCTAACAAGACTTTAAATACATAAAAATATAAAGCAAGTTATTTTTAAGTGTAACAAAAAACATAGAACCTATTTTTCCACAATATAGTAATTAATTTTAATAAAGTAAGAATGATCTAGTTGCTCTTGTCATTATCTCTTTTCCTCATTCTCTGTTCCTTAACATTCTTACCCACCTATGAAAAGCTGGTATTCTTCCCTTAATGCTTTGAAATTTCTTCATTTCTAAAAAAGAGTAAATCAGAATTCAACACAGCTAGCTTGAATCAGTCTTTCTGTTTCACATATGAATAGGTAATTCCTCCAGGCAGTGAATTGCCCTTTAGAAAAGATGGGCATTATGTTTCCCCTGAGTGTCTGAAATAGGTGGCCTGAAATGCATTCAAAGAGAAGCATTGTGTCAGATCTCAACTTTAAAGATGAAATCTGTTTTTTACTAATTATAGGTAGTTTTTGTTGTTTTGCAGCTGCTGCTCTTTGCTCTGAATTACTAGATTTTGAAAAATTATTTGCTTTAGTGAAATTTGGGAATGGATTTATTGTTACTGGTTATAGTTGGTTCTGGTTTCACGTTATAGAAATCTGCCAGAAAAGTTTGGTCTTTGAAGTAATCCTATGGTGTATACCTTTTTTTTTTTTTTGGTACTGGGGGTCAAACTTGGGACCTTGAGCTTGCGAGGCAGGTGCTGGAACCACTGAGCTAAATCCCTGGCCTGGTGTATACCTTTTTTTATTTTTTATTTTTTTGGTGCCGGGGATCGAACTCGGGACCTTGCGCTTGCGAGGCAGGCGCCGGAACCACTGAGCTAAATCCCCAGCCCAGTGTATACAATTTTTAAATGCAGGGAACCCACCCCATTTTTATTTTTGCAATTGTGGATTTTTTTTTTTTTTTTTTTTTTTTAGACAGGGTCTCGCTTTGTAGTTCAGGCTGTCTCTGACCTCACTACGTAGACCAGGCTGGCTTTGAACTCATGGTGCTCCTCCTGCCTCAACCTCCTAAGTGCTGGGATTACAGGCATGCGCCACCATGCCCGGCCAAAAATGTGGATTTTTGTATATCTCTCTTTTTTTTGGTACCAGAGATCAAACTCAGAACCTTGCGCTTGCAAGGCAGGCAGTGGCACCACTGAGCTAAATCCTGGCCCTTGTATATTTCTTGTTCTTTACTAGTTTAGGCTACAATATCTAACTGTAATTCATTTTTAACTTAATGAACTAGATATTTTTCCACATATTAGTATCATGTGTATTTTAGTTGACTTTGTTACTGCAAGGAAACATGTTTTTGTTTAGATCAGTAGTTCTCAAAATTATGGTAACCAGGATGATTTGGTGTCACCTGGGAACATGTTAGAAATACAAATTCTAGGACTCTACCCCAGTTCTACTATTCAGAAAAACCTGTGTTTCAACAAACCTTTTGGGTTATCCTGATACATGCCAAAGTTTGGGTGTTACTGGGACATGTGAAAAATATACTATGTGTTATGGCTTTCTATTTAGATGTCCCTTGAAAGCCTCATGAGCTCATAGTTGGGGCTTTGGGGAGTGACTGGATCAGGAGTGTGTGATACTGGATCAGTGCACTGATTGGTTTTGCATAGTTCTGGGTGTGGATGATAGATTGATTTACTGCAGAGGAAAGGCCCACCCCTGGTATGGGTAGCACCAACCAATAGGCTTGCAGCCTGGATGGACTAAAAAGGGGAAGAAGGAAGGCCTGCTGCTTCCTGCCTGCCAGGCCATGGACTGTTTCTCCTCTGCCATGCCCCACTGCCTTGGAACCAGCTGACTATGGGTTGAAACCTCTATTCTATGAGTTAGAATAAACCTTTGTTCCTTTAAATTAGGGGTGTCAGGGGCCAGGGATTTAGCTCAGTGGTTTTGTCGCCTGCCGTGCAAGCTCAAGGACCCGAGTTCGATCCCTGGTACCAAAAAAAAAAAAAAAATTGTGGATGTCAGTTATTTTGTCCCTGCCATGAGAAACTAAGACACCATGGCTAAAGATCTCAGCATTTCTGCCTGGGGCCTGGGTTTGGTTCAGTTCCAAGGCCCATGTTAGAGATGATAGCAATAATGCTTCTAATAGCTGTGAGGATGGAAAACGGATACTAAAGGGCTGCCTAACAAGAGCTGCTTTCATTGTTTCCAGTGGTGAGATCTCAAGAAGCAAGCAGTGAGCCAAGAATCTTTCACTGTTGAGTCAGAGCAAACTATTTCAGCACTTAGGATAATTAGCAGAAGCTTTTCCTTTGATAACATCATTTGTGCCTCCCTCTATTACTAAGAAACGTACTTGACAACTCATGTATGTAGCGCTTCACATTCAGAATACATGGGTTGTTTTCAGAATTAAGGAATTCTTGAATGAACTCTTTCAAATGCCTTTAAATTATAAATAATAAAAACACAATAAATGAAAAACACTTCATTAGTCAAATTAAGATATATATTCTCCAGCTATTGGTTTTATTTTATATAATTATTGCCTTTTGGGTAATATTTTCCTGTCTGGTTATTTTAAAACATTTTTAATGTAAAAAAATGTGTGTTTTAGTTGGAAAAATCCTTTACTCCTGAGTTTAAATGTTACATTTTAAAATTATTTCAGGTGGGTCCTTCAAAGTAGAGTACTAACTTTTTAAGCATGGCTTCATTTTATAAATGGGAACTCTTGTTATAAAGAACTAGATCTCTGCTAAATTTAGGGCCTGAAAGCTTATATTGGCTCTTAAGTCTAAGTCAGGGTTTGGTTTGGTTTGGTTTTGTTTTTTAATTGTTGTTTGTTTTAGGAAGATAGTTACACTGAAAAAGAGAAACAACTGGTTTGGTGATAGTGTCTCTTTGGCATAGCTGATGGATCTTGTTTGTGCTATATATATATTAGAATCCATGACTAAAGAACCAGTAAAGTTAAAGTTAAAACATTCTCTATGCATATTCGGAAGTGTAAGGTTTCCCAAGGCCAGAGTAAAGCTGCCAAAGTTTTGAAGGAAGTATTTCCGAATTTTAAGCAGAAGGGTATCTCTATTATTCACCTTGTCTGTTTTACTAATTATATCATGAAATTTCAGTTTCTTGCTAATAGAAATTAAATTCATCCAATCATTAATTACTTCCTAAATGTTTACACCTCAAGAATGAGGAAGGTATAGAATATATTTTAAGAAGGTTCTAATCCAAGCAAGAATGGAAATTCTGACTAGTTTATAGCCAAATATGTGGTAGAGAATTTAATGGTAGCAATTTCCTGTGATTTATTTATGCACCCAGGTGAGATTAATAAAACTGAGAAGGGGACCCAGTTCTTGCATTAGCCGGTCCTTTTTGGTGCAGGCCTAGTCACATGCTTGTGAACATTTAATATCTGTAGTCTCTTTATACTGGCATTATTTAATCCATTTCCACATACGATTTATCTCCTTTCTAAGCTGAGAAAAATAATCACTTTTAAGATACGTAAAACATACCTAAAATAGGCAGAAGGCTGAAAGACTTTTTTTCTCCTGAGTTGAGTATGTAAAGTGTGCAGTTCATAAAGTACTTTATTTAGGAATATTAAGCATTACGTTTATTATTGACTGTTAGTGACACAAATTCCTTTTCTGCTTTGTGTTTGGGTTTTTTTTTGGTACTGGGGATCAAACTTGGGACCTTGCACTTGTGAGGAAGGCGGCAGAACCACTGAGCTAAATCCCCAGCCCAGTGACACAAATTCTAGTACTACAAATTTCAAAGAAATGTAGTGTAAAGTTAGGCCTGGTGCTGCACACCTGTAATCTCAACACTATGGGAGGCTGAGGGAGGAGGAACAAAAGTTTGAGCCCAGCCTGGGCAATTTAGCGAGACTTCTCAAAACTAAAAAAGAGCTGGGGGTGTAGTTTAGTGTAGAGTTGCTAGATTCAACCCCAGCACAGAAAGGAAGAAAGAAGAGGGAAAGGAAAGGAAGAGAAGGAAGGGAGGGAGGGAAAAAAAACAAAGTGTAGCATTTTAGAAATTTAGTCACAAGTGAAATGAAATTTGAGTCTATAAAATATAATTTCTTTTTTTTTTTTTGCAATGCTAGGGATCAAACCCACGGTCATGCCCATTATAGACAAGTGCTCTATTACTTTGCCACACGTCTCGACCTTTTTTATTTGTTTATTTTGAAACAGGACCTCACTAAATCTCTAAACTGCTCAGGCTGGGTTTCAACTTGCAATCCTCTTGCCTGCTCTAGTGCTGAGATATAGGCATGTGCCACCACGTACCGCTTGAGGTAGGAAATTTAGTAAGTGAGGATTATATAGAAAAGACTGAAGACTACTTATTTTTCTTCATGGATAAGAAAATATTTAAAACTTTTTCAGTCTACTCCAATAATTCATTGTCCTTGGTTTTTTGGTTTTGGTTTTGGGTTGTTTTTTTTGTTTTTTTGTTTTTTGTTTTTTGTTGTCAAATTAAAAAATTAGTTTCTGGGTTAGTCTGATTTTGTGTGTGTGTGACATAGAGCTGGGCCCAAGAAAAATGCCATTTTGTCTTCATAAACTCCAGGTCAGAGTTCACCTTAGCAAGCCATTTTATTTGTTTTTGATTTTCTAGTTGTCTGAAGGAAGCCAAAGACAAGTGAACCTGCAGAAAAGCATCGAGAAAGCAAAAATTGGCCGACATGAGACAGTAAGTTTGTTTCTGTTATTTAATGCAATTCTACGGTGGGGATGTAGCTCAGTGGCGCTGCCATCTGCCTCGCCAGTGCAAGGTCCCAAGTTCGATCCCTGGGACCAAAATAAATAAATAAAATAATTGCAATTCTAAACAGACTTGTAAGAACACAGAGCTTCATCACAGCAAGGGACACAGGACAGAAGTGTTTGACCTGGTAGAATTCACCAATTGTGAATCTAGGTTTTGCTGGGAGGGGTGCTGGGGATTGAGAGCCTTGTCAGGGGACAGAGAGGGGGGAAGGAGGGAGGGAGAGAGAGAGTATTCGGACGATTAGCACTGAAGCATAAACCCTGGAGCCAAACTGCTGGAGTTTGGAAATCTCTTTAACTGTTTTCAGTTTTGTCGGTTGTAAAATGGGGAATAATAAAATCTACTTCACTGGGTTATTATGTGGATTAAACTAGTTAAAATTTGCAAAGCGTTACAAGATGGTCTGGTACATGGTAAGACCTATTAAATATTTACACTTTTTCAGAGTTTTTCTTTTTTGACACATAAACTGTAAATGATCAACATAGTATTCTTGTGGCCTTGTAATATTTTCTAACTATTGAAATGAGTATTGACCTATTTTATTTCTTTTGGTTTTGGGAGGTTTTTTGGTACCAGAGATCGAACTCAGGACCTTGCACTTGCAAGGCAGGCAGTGGAACCACTGAGCTATAACCCCAGCCCAACCCATTTTATTTCTTAAAGTGCAAGTGTGTTTTAAAACACTGTGTTAGAGATTTCTAAAAATCACTATCTATTGTCATTATCTCAAGAATGGATTTAGAAAAATACTTTTAAGGCATTGGAAATCAATATGAAGCACTAAGTTTTTCACTTAGGTCCCCATATCACTTGATTGTGAAAGAAAGTGACCTGAAAACTTGTTACACTACAGAAAGGAACACATCACAGGGTTACAGTGGCTTTGTTGCTTTCGCAGTTACTTCGCATATATTTTTTCATGTTAGTAGGCAGCACAGTCACAGGTAGACCTTAGAAAATGGTAATTTCTGTAGCATATTTAAGGGAAATTAAATTCTGGGCACAGCCCAAATCTGTTGTCATTTCCCTGGTGACTGTAGTAATTACCACCTTATTTGATCCTCTTTCTTCAACGCTGACAATAACTTATAGAGGCGCTGTGTGCGTGCCCAAAAGCTGTCAGCCAGTCTGCCGAGTGTCACTCAATCCACCAGATCAGTGCAGCCAGGGGAAAACCAGCCACAGAGCCGGCTGGAGCCTTGGGTATCAGAGGCGGGCAGTAACTGGGAAAGGCTCCTGAAAAGATGAGGTTTCGCCAGCCAGTAGATTTTCAGAAATGTCTCCCCCTCTGTGAGGTATTGTCCTTGGTGATGCGATGCTGCTGAAAAGATGGCAGGGACACGGTGCTTACTACAAGCCAGGCAGGTACTTCCCTAAATGCATTTCTTACATGTATTAAATCCTGCCCACAGTCTGAGGAGGCTGTACTCGGACTGTGTACATTTTACATCTGGAGAACTAGAGGCACAGAGGAGTTCAGTCATCTTGCAGAGGTCTCAGTGCCAGTAACTGAGATGGGATTGATTCAGAGAGTCTGGGAGCTGTCATGGTGTTCGTACGGATGCTCTCCTTTCTGCTTCTCCTTTCTTCATTAGCCTCTTCTGTTTTCCTTTGAAACACATATAATTAGGTGTTGATGGCAAATAATGATCACTGTCTTATAATCGTAAATCTGTGCTCTGCTAATACAACACATACTGACTCTATGCAGCTCTTTACAGTAAGATACAATTAAATTTAGTTTCTCGGTCACCGGGGCCCCAGTTCATATACTCAGTAGCCACATGCCCAGAGTGCAGGTCTAGAACATTTCTGTCATTGCAAAGAGCTCTGTTGGACCTTATTTCTCAAAGCATGCTGCTCTGCATATGCTTTCTCCTCGACAAATGCCAGCAAAAGGAACTTTTCTTCACTTTGGAACCAAAGGGAACAGCCAAAGGCAGATTAGGAAAGTAGAAACAAAAATACAAGGTAGCAAGGAACCTTAGTCCCATTCGGGCCACTTGGACTTTGATTTTTGCCTCTGGCTTGTCTTACAATTCTTTACCACAGTCTTTGTCTGCATTTGATTTTTGTTTGGATTTTTGTTTTGGGTTGCACAAAAGATGTCTGAGGTTTCAAAGAAAGATAAGCATCAAGCTTGTTTTTACACTGTGCATGTGTGTTACACGTCATCCCTTAGGGTCCCACAGGGCTTGGTCTCAGGACCTTCTGAGGATATCAGAGTCTGCAGGTGCCTAAGCCTCTCACATCAAATAGGGTAGTATTTTTGTATCATGTCCCTTCATGTGCTTTTTTTTTTCATTACTGGGGATTAATCCCAGAGCCTTCACATAGAGCTATATCTCCAGCCCTTTTTTATTTTGAGACAAATTCTCACTAAGTCATGGAGTTTCCCAGGCTGGACTCGAGCCTTAGCTCCCCAGAGTGCTGGGATTGCAGTTGTGTGCCAACACATCTTGCTCCTCATGAGCTTTAAATCATCTCTAGATTACTTATACTACCTAATCCAGTGTAAATGCTATGTAAATTGTTGTTATACTCTGTTATTTAGGAAATAACAAGAAAAAAGTCTGTACATGTTCAGTATAGATGTAAGTTTATAAATTTTTGAATATTTTTGATCCGTGGTTGGTTGAATCTGAACACAGAATCTGTGGATATGGAGAGCCGACTGTATGAATATTATATTAAAGCCTACTATGTCATAGATAAGAAATAAAGTGTTTATAAAGTGTATTGCTTTATAACAGATGGGATTTTGTTGTCTTAATTATACATAAAATTACTTTGAATTTAGGAAGAACGAACCATGCTAGCAAAAGAGCTTTCTTCACTTCGGGACCAAAGGGAACAGCTTAAGGCAGAAGTAGAAAAATACAAAGAATGTGACCCACAAGTTGTGGAAGAAATACGTAAGTTTATAGTACAACTTGAGGCTCATTAACTTGGCAGTGAACAAGATTTTGCATTTCTTGTTGTCTGGTAAGCACTTTCCAGGTACAAGAGAAAAGAAAGGCTATAAAACAGTGTTGTGTCCTCTGCTCTCACTTTGTATTTTAGCATAATAGGAAAATATTGTCATATTTCTAATAAAGAGACTCAATGTCAAATCGTTGAATAGTGACAACTTTGAAGTTAAACATTTCAAAAGTAAGGAAAGTGAATGGGATCAAAGGATTAAAAACAAAATATAGGCCCGGGGATTTAGCTCAGTGGTTCCACGGCCTGCCTCACAAGCACAAGGTCCTGAGTTTGAGACAGCTCCCTCACTTTGCTCAGCCCTGGGAGACCCTGTTCATGCGCGTAGAGTCGTGCTTAGTGGTGATACGGGGCGATTCAGCTGATTGCAGGGGTGATTTTCACAGAGAAGGAGGCAGAAGAACTCCCTCAGCCAGTCATCTCTGTTAAATTTGGCATTTAGGGAAACATGCCTTACATGCTGCCCTCAGACGTATTCATCATCCCCAGCAGAACTGTCTGAATCTGGGGCTGCACCATTATCACTTTACCTGATTGAAAGCTTTAACCAGTGTCAGGTGGCCGTCAGTGAACACAAGCGCATGCGGGAGGGACGGGATGGAGGTTACTCCCGGGCCTGCGTGAGCCTGTCTTGTGACTAGCTTCGGGACAGGCTTCTGACTGGATTTGATGCTCTCTGGAACCGACTTTCAGGATCGGCCCCGTAGTGCCCGCTAGCAGATCATGACAACCTGAGTTTTCACCCTAACTAACTCTGATCCTTCATACATTACTCTACATCTGCTTTCCTTCTTTTTTGCTTTTGTCATTTGATTGGTTGGGTTTGATTTTTGCTTGTTTGTTTTGGTTTGATTTGGTTTTGGTTTTTTGAGGCAGGATCTTGCTTTGTAGCCCAGCCTGGGTTCAAGCTTGTGACTTTCCTGCCTCAGCCTCCCAACTGCTGGGACTGCAGGCACCCACCACCACCCCTGACCTGCCTTCCTTCTTGATTGCAGTTTTGTGTAATTCTTGTACTGTTTCCTTGCATTAGCACCTCTACTTGCTTGCGTCATTCCCTTTATGTGTTTATTCCCTGCAACTTTACCCACACTCATTCAGGATTCCAGCTTTTCAACTCTGTGGTCCCCACTGAACTGCCACAAGTGTTTCCTTGGGCAAGTGCCCCCGACTGACCTCACCTCCAAAATGGGACTTTCGGGCCGGGGATTTAGCTCAGTGGTTCCGCCGCCTGCCCCGCAAGCGCAAGGACCGGAGTTTGATCCCCGGTACCAAAAAAAACACCAAAATGGGACTTTCCATTTTTATAGTCCTCATAATTTTGCTACCCTCTGTCCACTCGGGAATGACTGAAACTTTTATTTAGGCTTCTTACACCACTCTGACCTACACTGATAGTGATCCTACACCAACGGGTCATCTTGAGGTGCAGGATATGGACAGGGACAGAGAATTATGCAAGACTGATTCACAAAGTGGGAAGACTTTCAGGCATGTGATTTAAGGTATTGCTGTTCTTGCATCACCTCAGAGAAAGGTAATAAAACTTGAAGAAGGCATTTGAGGGTATGCGAAAGATTGTATGAAGTATGAAATAGCGTATTTGAGGAGGAAGTTGCAGCTGTGCAATTTAAATTTATACTGGTTGCCTGCATTCTGGTATCCGTCTTGGCCCTTGGATTTAAGTTTGGTAATTTACTTCCCAACCCAAGGAAAACATGCCCACGTGAATGAGTGCTATGCAGGATATGAGGTCTAAGTAAGTGAAAAGAAAAGTAAATTTTTCTAATTTTCAGTGGGTTAAGAGACTTTATCATTCTTCATCAATGTCAGACCTAGATTTTTGTTTGTTTTTTGAGACAGGGACACAGGGTCTCTTGTCTGTAGCCCGGGCTGGCCTTGAACTTGCAGTGATCCTCCTGTCTCAGCCTCCTAAGTGCTGAGAGTACAGGTGTGTGCCACCACGCCCAGCTAGACTGAGACTATCTTTTAATATTTATGTGCCCACATAAAGTTGGATCTGTACAGTATTTGGATCCTGGAAAATTTTAATGATAAATCTATTCGAGATAAATTATTTTTTACTGGGAAATGAGAAGGTAAGAGTCTTTGCTTCCTGACCTTGTGCAAGTTTTTTTTACTCAACTAAAGAATATTATCTGTTTTTGTGTACTTTACTTATAGAAAACTTCAACATATTTTATACAGAGTCGATGTGTAGAGTAATTACATTATTCCGTAAGCGTAATGCAGGTGCGTGGCAAGGGTCTCTTTCATATGAAAGCCACAAAGTGAGGCTGGGAATGCCGTCCGTGGCAGAGCACTTCCCGAGCATGTGTGAAGCTCTGGGTTCAGTTTCTGGCACTACCAAAAGAAAAATCACAACTACCAACGGGAAAAATAATCTGTCAAAGTTTGTATACTTATGAGAATTTTTAGACGAACTTCAGTTCGTATTTTTATAGAGAAATGTCCAGTTCATCTGCTTTAAATTTTAGAACAGAAAACATAAAACTTCAAACACAGAACTTCTTCCAGTCAATACAGAGTAGTGGGGATTGGATTTGGTCTCCCTCCTTAAAAACAAACAAAATATATAAAACAGTGGTTTTCAGGATATTCATATCAGTGAAAAACAGCGATCCTTGCAGAAAGGAAACAGCTGAAGTAAGCCTTGCAATTGTCCCCTCTTATTTTTTTGAGTTTCCTGGCCACGGCACAGTCAGGGGATCCCAGGCAGAGCCCTGCAGCTTGATTCCCTGAGCTGAGGAGATGGAACTGAGAGTCAGGAAGGGGTGCGCCCAGAGGAGCGGGGTGCCCAGGAAGCTCTGCATGTATTCAGTGCAGCCCCCTCGAGGACACGAGGACGCTACCCGGGGCCGAGGAAGAGCCACGGTGCGGTTCAAAGGAACGGTGCCAGGCACCCACCAAGGGCCGAGAGTAGTGCTCATTTTTCACCAGCCAGATTGAGAGAATTTGCAATTAACAAGGAATTTATTAGAGAGTACAAGAAAATCTTGCCTTACAAGAAGGGAGTAAACATGGGCCAGGGATTTGGCTCAGTGGTTTCGCCACCTGCTGTGCAAGCGGAAGGACCCAAGTTCGATCCCCGGTACTGAAGAAAAAAAAAAAAAGGGAGTAAACAGCTCTAGACTGAGCTCTTCTCTGACCTCTTACTGAGCCGTATGACCCAGACTTGAAAGCATCTTAATCGTCAAGTAAACACATCCCAGATCAAAGCTCAAGAATATTAATAAAAATATAAAAAATCTAATATTCAACAAAATAAAACTTGTTATTTTTGGCATACAAATTAATTTTACCAGGCATGTAAAAGACTAGGAAAATAAGATTGAAAATGAACAGAATAATCTATCAATCCAAACTGGCCAGAACATTAAAACAATTATGACTGTACCACACATGTTCAAAAAGTTAAGTATTTCTACCTAACTTGGAAGCTATAAATGTCAGATGTCGTCACATGAAAACTATGATGTTTGACATGAAAAGTACAGTGGTTTGGATTAACAGCAGATTAACTTTTGCAGAAGAAAAGGTCTTGTATTTAAAGATACAGCAATAGAAACTATCCAAAATGAAGCAAAAAATTTTAATATGAAAATGTCATTCTTAGCTGGGTATGGTGGTACATGCCTGTAATCCTAGCACTGTGGGAGGCTGAGACAGGAGGATCATAAATTCCAGGCCAGCTTGGTCACTGTGGTGACTTAACAAGACTTTGTCTCAAAATTTTAAAAAGGAACTGGCTCTGTAACTCAGTGCAAAGGCCCTGGGTTTATCCTGTGTCTCACATACACACACACAACTACCCAGAGTCTCAAGGAGAATTTGGGGCAGGGAGTTTGCTAGGCTAGGAAAATATCTGAAGAACTAAAAGCTAATTTGTTACAATTTGATGACAGCTACAAATCTAAGAAATTTAAATATTTAAGTTCTAGAGGCCAGAGATCCCCTTCTCACTACATTCAGAGAACTTTAAACTTTAACCTCTGTTTACTGCCCAGCTCTCCCCAATGAAATTACTGTTTTTAGATGTGCTTTATTTTTTTTAATGAGGGATTTCATAGGATTTTAGCTATCATGTTAGGGCAGAACAGATGGTACCAGCTTGAAGGATTATAAATGCTGCAAATTGATTCAAATAGGATTTTGTTCTTAATAGCAATTAAGAGCATATTAGAAACACTCAAGTTTAGGACTGTCATGGTTTATTTTGGAACACAATTTGCTAATAATAACCACAACCCATTCTTTGTATAGGTATGGCTGTATATTATCTCTTACTTATTTTTCAATAATGCCTGCAAGAAATATTTATATTTCATCATGCCATTTGAATTACTCATATCATTACACAAACATTGGCATGATTAACTGCAAATATCCAAGAAGTGAAAGCAATAGTTTATTTTAAATGTGAAATTATAACTACTTAACATTTAAATGAGACTAGAGAAAACAAGTACCTGGTAGAAATTTAAATTCCCACAAAAATACTTGAAAGTAAATGTCAGAAGTACTCAAGAAATTTTCTTAAAATAAATGCCTGAAAGACAATAAAAATAGTAAACCAAGCATCTTTGAAAATTTGCCCTTCCACAAAAGCTTGCAAAATTGTTACAATTGTTGCTTGCAGACTTCATGGGAAATGGCTGACAAAGTAAAAAATAGTGAACTTTTGCAGTGTTTTGACTTGGGGTGCAGTTTACAACATATTTGTAAAATAATGCTCGGTAGTGGGGAGATATCCACATGATTATCCTAAGTGGTGAAATAAAAATATTTGATCAAAATTCAACAGCCTTTTATTATTAAAACATTCAACAAAATAGGAATAGAAGTGAACTTAACCTGGTCGGAGAGCATCTACAAAAATCCATGGTCAACATGTTGGATGGTAAAAGACTGAAAGCTTTTCCCATCCATGTCTACACAGCACTTCTATTCAACACTGTACCAGAAGCTTAACTGGGACCATTAGACATTAAAAAAAAGATGAAGAAAGAGAAAGAAAGGTATTTATTCTGAGAAGGAAGAAGTAAAATGATTTCAGATGGCATATCTTATATATATGTAGAATGTGTATGTATATATACATTCAGTAACAGCATGCACACTGTTAGGGTTTATATCTCCACGTGCCCCCAGAGCCTCATGCTCTTCTAGGTGGGGCTTTGGCCAATGATTGGATCATGTCAGTGTGATGGATTAGTCCTCTGATGAGTTGGTAGGTGAATGTGATTTGGGCAGTGAAGCCTGGTCGGAGGAGGTAGGTCACTGGGGCCGTGGCCTGGAAGGCTTTATCTCTCTCCGCCATTAATTCTTCTCTGCTTCCTTCCTGTCCTGTCATGAGCTGTTTGTTTCCTCTGTCCTGCCACTCTGCCTTGGAGCCAGGCGACTAAAGACTGAAACCTCTGCAAACTGAGCCAAAATAAACTTTTCCTCCTTAGAGTTGTGGGTGTCAGATATTGTGTCTCAGTGACAAGAAAGTAACTAAGATATACACCCAAACAAAAAGCTAAAAAAACCTAATAAGGTCAGCAAGTTTACAGAATACAAACTCTGTATGTAAAAATCTTTTTGTTTTTTTCAGTACTAGGGATTGAACCTGTGGCCTTCACACTGAGCTTTTTTATTTGGAGACAGGGTCTCACTAAATTGCTACATGCTGGGCTACAACTTGAGAGCCTCCTACTTCAGCTTCTCAGAGTGCTGGAATTACAGGCATATGCCACAGTGCCTGGCTTAAAGTATGTGAATTTCTGTATGCTAACAATAAACAATCTATAACTGAAATTATTAATATTATTAAGATGAAGGGCCGGGGATTTAGCTCAGTGGTTCCGGTGCCTGCATCACAAGTGCAAGGTCTGAGTTCAATCCCTGGTGCCACAAAAAAAAAGATGGAAATACTTCCCAAACTGATCCATATTTTCAGTGCAAAACCTGTCAAAGTCCCAACTCCTTATTTTACAGAAACTGATAAACTAATCTTAAAGTTCATACAGAAATAAAGGAGACCCAGAATGGCCAAAATATCTTGAGAAAACAAAGTCGAGGGACTCAAAGTTCTTGATTATAAAACTTACTACAGATCTACATTGATCAAGACAGTATAGTACTGGTTTAGAAACAGACATATGGATGAATGGAATGGAATTGAGAGTCCAGAAATAAATAGTTGATTTTCAACCATGGTGATGAAACCATTCAATTGGTAGTGTTTTCAACTAATGGTGTTGGGTGCAGTTGAATGTCCACCTGACAACAAATTAATCTGACCCCCACCTCGTACCATAAGCAGAAATTGACTGAAGTGAATTAAAGATATAACGTAAGACCTGGAACTATAAAACTCTTAGAAGAAAACATAGGTGTGTGTTTCTTTGGGCTTGACTTGGGCACTGTTAAAATACTTGTATAATTCCACAATAAAGGCAACCCAATCTTCAAAGTGGACAAAGGATTTGAACAAACATTTTCCAAGAAAAATATGCAAATACCAATACGCACACAAAAATATGCTCAATATTAGTCATTTGGAAAATTCAAATCACAACCAGAATGAGATGCATCTTCATCTTCAGGATGAAGGCTATAATTTTTTTTAATTTATGGAATTGAACTCTTAGATTGCTGGTGGGATTGTAAAATGGTGTAGCCATATTGGAAAACAATTTATCCTTTGCCCAAAATGACACAGTTACTGGGTAAGCTAGCAATTCTATTCCTAGATACATACCTAAACAAAGTGAAAACAGATTCACAGATACTAAATTATTCATATGAGTAGAAACAACTCAAATGTCCATCCACTGATGCATAGATCGTTTGTTCCACAGAAAGGTAGTCCACAGAGAGAGAATGTAGATCAGTGGAGGGACAGATGGGGAATGTTGAGTAAATGCTAATGAGTTCAAGGTTTCCTTTTGGGTGATGAAAATAAAAAACCACTGAATTATATCAATGTGATAAATTCTGTGGAATATAAATTATCTTTCAATCAAAAATTAAACGCCATCACTCTTAAGTAATATGTATGCACAGGTGTTTATGGCATTGTTCCATGCTCTGCAGATAAACTTGGAAGGCAGTATGTGTACAGATAGATTAATAACAAGATGTGTATTTAAGTGTAAATAAAAGAAAATGCATTCTCCTGTAAGGCTACTTTCTTAACACTAATCTTTTTTAAGGTCAGATATATCATGTCCTGAGGATATATATACAGTAAAATTTTTGCCATTAAATTTAAATTATTTTATCATTTAGTAAGTTGTTTGAGAAACATCTCGTTTAAACGTGGTTTGGCGGGGGTTGTTTTTTTTTTTGTTTTTTGGGGGTACGAGGGATTGAATTTGGGTCCTTGTGCTTGCAAGGCAGGCGGCGGAACCACTGAGCTAAATCCCCGGCCCGTTTAAACGTGTTTTTAAAGAAGCAACTACAGTGATAGACATTTTGGAAAGGGAAATTGTTCACATTGACTTTCTATTTATTCATTGCTAATAGAACTGCAGCTAAAATTTTCTTGGGAATTTGAGCAGGTTTGTAAGATACAGTATTATTTTACTATTTGAGCCTTTTTTCGAAAGCTATTGTGTGTGTGTGTTTTATAAAATCTATAAACTATAAGAATTTTGTATGAAAATATAAATCTATAGTTAGATCAAGGTAATTTGTATATATAAATAATTAGATTCAGTTTTATGTATCTTTTTTTTTAGGTCAAGCAAATAAAGTGGCCAAAGACGCTGCTAACAGATGGACTGGTATGTATTATAATGACATTGCCAATGTATGGTTAAACTTATTCCACATTCACTGTGATGTGAAATTCAGATGCCTTGGTGCTAGCTCTGTTCAGGAAAAGGTATTTCTGGAAATGTGTGCATTGCTCATGTTTTTGTATATGAAATTTTTTCAGTTACTAAGGGTTATTTTTTAAAAATCTTATTATTATTCATTTTATTAAAGTGTATTTTTATAAAACCAGTAATTGCTTCCAGTTTAACTATTGTGTTATTTCTCTCAAGGTAAGTCACCTGGACTAATCATTTAACTCTCATATGTATTAATGAAATATATAATTGATGTTTCATGTGTATTTCATGTCAAATTCACCTTTAGAGTTTCGTGGAACCCTACAGCTGTTTTCCTGACAGTGCTAGGTGAGGCCTGAGGGCTCTCTGAAGAGTAATATGAGTGGTTTTCCGCGCTGTGTTCTCACTTCCTCTCCACACAAACCCTATGAGGTCGGCGTCCCTCATTTTGGACATGAAACAGCCCCCGAGTCCCAGGCCACACACACACGCTAGGCTGTGGAACAGGAGCTAAGTCCGGCTGTTCTGTTTCCCGAGACTGAGCTCTGACCCACTTCGTGTGCTCTCTCCTCTGTCAGCCAGCTGTCCTGTAAGTGCCTCATCAAACATGTGCTAATGGGTGCCCGCCCACATCTACACCAAAGACATTTTAGGAAGTGAGAATTCAAAAGCCATTGTGGGGCCAGGGATTTAGCTCAGTGGTTCCGTCGCCTGCCTCGCAAGCGTAAGGACCCGAGTTTGATCCCCGGTACCACAAAAAAAAAAACACACAAAAAAAGCCATTGTGTATGTGGCATAGGGTCAGGAAAAAGTTAATAAATAGGGATTACTGTGATTTATATACTGTTAAAACCTGCCAGAAATTTATACTAATGTTTTTTCAAAATTTAATTATAAAATAATGGTAATTGAATTTTTCCATTCTGGTGAGAGTGTGTAAAGCCTTCACGTGTATTAGTCATCCTCATGTTTCTGTGGGGGAATATGGATAAGATTGAAGCAGAGATGTAAAGTTTAAAGTGACTTTGTTAAGTCAAAAGGGATTAGTCACTGGAAGAACACAGATTTTGTGCCAGGTTTTCCTGGTGCCCTGTCCAGGCCTGTGTTTCACAAAAGATGTAAAAATCATTTTTCCCTAGCCTATTTTAGAATTAAACAGATTAGTAAAATCAACATAAATTAGCCTTGTTTCCCCCTTACTATCTTATAGCTTGTAATCTTAATTATTACAGTTAATTTCCTAAGTAATATAATGCTTCAGTGATAAGAACAGAGGAGGGTAGAAAGAGCAAATTATCTTTAAAGAAAAGAGAATAATGAAGTGTATGTGTCTTGTAAGGTACAAATAAGTAACAAATGCAATGATATTTTATGGGTTTGAGAAATATAAGTGAGTGTGACAGGAGTAGCAAGTGGATCTTAGGTCAAAGAGAGGACAAGAGTCACGAGATGACTGAGTAGTTCTCAACACAGCGGCGCACGAGGCAGGTGGAACAGGCAACTTGTGTGTGCAGGGCTTCACTTGGAGAGGAGTCCACCTGGAGCGCCGCGCCTGCTGTCTGACCCCTTCAGCTTCTCAGCCCGCTTCCTCCTCTGTTCCGCCTGCATCGCATCTACCTGGCGTTTTGGGAGGATGAAGCGAGACAGTCTGTGCGCTCCACACAATGTCAGACCCTGAAGCCGGGCATGGTGGCACACACCTGTAATCCCAGCACTCAGGAGGCTGAGGCAGGAGGATCGCCGTGAGTTCAAGGCCAGCCTGGGCTACAAAGGGAGACCCTGTCTCAAAAGAAGACCTCAAAAAGTGCCCTCCTTTCCATTTCTCCAAGACAGGCGGTGTAACCGCTGAGCTAAATCCCCAGCCCACCCTTTCTCCAATTCATCATAAATTCCAAGTGTTAAATAAACAATCAGTTGTTTTTCAGCTTATCAAAAACTTCCAAAATTATAATACAGTTGGCAGAGCTTCCCACCCTCGTTCCATGTCTTAGCTGCAGAAGAACCTGGAACTTTTTAAAGCATGTGGAAGGAAGATATTTTTAGCATAGCAGAAACAGCTGTTAAGAACTGTATTTCCTTTTGAGGTTACAACTCATTCTTTCCAGCATAAACACATGTTGTGAAAAATGAAGATGGGGAGAGAGTGGATTACACCTCAGAAAACCTCACTGTCTTTAAAAAAAACCAAAATATCATTGTTTTTTGTAACTAAAAGTTATATAGCATCGGTTAAGGGTTGGTTTCTTTTTCTGTGAGTCCTTAAAATGTGTCTGGAATTGAGAATATTTATATTGTTTATATTTATGTTGTTTAATAATTCAGTATCTCAGGTTTTTTGTTTTGTTTCTGTGGTACCGGGGATTGAACTCAGGACCTTGCGTTTGCAAGGCAGGTGCGGTGCCACTGAGCTAATTCCTGGCCTTTCAGTATCTCAGTTTTATAGAATGAGAAATCACCTCAGGATGTAAATACAGAAATACGAAGTCTAAATGTTTTATGGCAGTTAGTACACTTTAAATGTAATTTAACAAATTACATAAAACCTTAATAATTAAGATAGTAGAGATTGTTTGTGTTGCTGAAGCGAGGGCCTTGCTCGTGGGCCTGCCACTCCACAGCCAGCCCAGGATGGCAGTTTTTGTACTCACACGAGAGGCATCTCAATGCATGGGCAGGTAGATGTTGTGAGGCCCCATCCATCATAGGCTCTTTGCAAATGATGATTGAGCAGCCTATTCTGTATGTATCTTGGTTATGCAGTCGGATAAGTTAAGAGAGATTCTGCCTGTCTTAGAGTTGTTTCTGTAAAAACAAAATTATTCTGTATCCATTTATAAAAACGTCTACATGACAAGAAGATTATCAGATAGCGAATGAACTGTCAAGCTTGTGGATTGCATCATGTTAAATGGGACATCCCGTGGCCCAAGGAAATATTTGATCAGAGCCGCCTTTGAATCGGTCCATTACAGTGTTGCAGAGAGGCTTGTATTTGTTGGTTCTTTTGTGTATATTTCATTCATGGATTGTTTATAATAAGATCCTTTCTTGTCCTTACATGAAGCAGAAACTCCTTCCAGCAGAGGCTGCTGAATAGCCTCAGTCTGGGCTTCGCTTTCTTCTCCTGACCCAGCTTCGAAGTCTCTTCCCTGCAAGCAGGGTCGCCTGAGTTCGCTCATTTCCTGGAAATCTTTATGTATTCATTGAGCCTGTCCTGAAAGCTGTGCGTGTAATCCTTCATCTTTCCTCTCTAACACGCACATCAGGTCAGAATTGTTTGGTAGTAAAGTAATGATCTCTCTCTCTGTCTCTCTCTGTCTCTTTGTCTCTGTCTCTCTCGGTGTCTGTCTGTCTCTGCCTCTGTCTCTCTCTGCCCTCCCTCCCCCATCATGGTAGCTCAAAGGCATAGGCCCTTTACATTCTGTGACAGGTGTAGTACACTTAAAACTTGTCTTCTGTATCAGTGAGCCCTCTATAAATGCTTGACTGTGATTGGCAAGGCTGTACTGACTGTGCAGGCACTGGCTAAACTAAACAGTCCTGGTGCCCTCGTGTTATTGTTCTACTATCTCACTTGTTAGGGAAAGTAAAGATTTATTTGAGGTTGTTACAAAGAGTCAAGATTCATTTTAGTATCTTTCGACATTCCATAAGTCTTTAATGGAAAGAAATGATATTTCACTAGCAGTATTTGTTTTATTTGAGGCAATAATGTACACTTTAGAAATAAATTTGACTCCAGAAATGTCATTATTTGATACTTGGAGTTAACTTCCTTAGAAACAATATATTAAAGAATGGTCAAAGTCCACGTATTAACTTGCTAGGGATACCAGAGCAAAGTACCACCGAGTCGTTTAAAACACCAGAAATGTAATTCCTCACCATGCTGAATAGATGCTATCCTCTGCCTAACTCAAAGTGCCAAATGAGGATGTTGGCAAGCCTCGCGTGTTTTGAGGCCTCTCGTTGGCCTCCGGGGTGGCTTCCGTCCCTGTGCTCTCGAGTCTTTCCTTGTGTGAGTGCCTCTCCGTGCCCCAAACTTCCCTTCGTTGTGCAGAGTGGTCAGATTGGATAGGGCCCACCTAATCATCTCATTTTAAGAGAATCACATTTCTGGACATCATATCCAATGTAGTCACATGCTGTCATGGAGGGGTAGGACTTCAGCATAGGAGTAGGGGCCAAGAGGGTGACTTGATTCCTCCCATAACACCCCAGAGAACTCTTTAAACATTCCACAGAGCACCCCAACAAGCCAGGAAACCTTATGCCCTTATTTTTCCATGTGCAGGATACAGTTTTGTTATAAAGGTTATATACGGCCAGGCATAGTGGCACAGGCTTACAATCCCAACACTCTGGAAGGCTGAGGCAGGAAGCTTACAAGTTTGAGCCCAGCCTGGGCAACTTAGCAAGACCCTGTCTCAAAGAATAAAATAAAAATTCTTTAAAAGTGCTCAAGGGCTGGGGATTTAGCTCAGCGGTTTTGCCACCCGCTGTGCAAGCGCAAGGACGGGAGTTCGATCCCCGATACAAAAAAAGAAAAGTGCTCAGGGTGGGACCGGCGATTTAGCTCAGTGGTTCTGCCACCTGCCTCTAAAGCGCAAGGTCCTGAGTTTGATCCCTGGTACCAAAAACCAAAAAACAAAAAAAAAGTACTCAGGGGCCAGGGATTTAGCTCAGTGGTTCCGGTGCCTGCCACGCAAGCGCAAGGTCGCGAGTTCATTCCCCGGTACCAAAAAGAAAAAACAAAAGTGCTCAGGGGATGTAGCTCAGTGAAAAGATCCTGAGTTTGGTCCCCAGCACAAACAAAAAGCTGTAGATGTACATCAGAAATGTGTGAAAGTGAGGAACACCATTGTGGTCCTTGGTCCCCCAGGGCACTGCAAGCAGCGGGGTTTCCCTGCACCCTCAGCCGCCCGAGTGCCCTTGCAACGTGTAGATGATTAGATTGCTTTTTTTCCCCTCTGTTGTCACACTGGGCTAAAGATCTTGATCAAAAATCTTCGTACACAATTTATTGTCTTTCCTTGGGATAAGTTCTTTTAAGTAAATAGACTGCTTTTTTCAGTGGCAAATACATTTTAACCCCCCTCCCCCAGCCCTGGGGATGAGGACACATCTTCTCCTGTCTCAGTCCCGGAGGATGCTCTCCCTGCTGCTACCCCCTCTCTCTCACCCTGGCCTGGGGTCTGGAATCCGTTACCCTCGGGTCGGGGAAGAAAGGTCCAGAGAGAAGGTGTTCCCTTTGGGGACGAGAAACCCCAGCTCCTAAGCTGAGTCTGGCCTCCGGTGGAAATAACAGAAAAGATGCCATTAGCCTACCCGTCTTCGTATTATCCTTAAGGTAGGTTTCTTTATCAGCAAATACTTTCCGAGTTTTAAATAAAATATCTTCTTTTATCTGTAGTTACTGCCCTCACTCTTGAAAATAGAGAAACTTATGTTAATGCAGCTAAGAGTAAGGTAAATAAAGGAACAACGAGGATACTTCTATTTGAAATATTTTATGATTGTTTTTAATTCTCAAAAATATTTCTCTGTTTTTTACAGATAATATATTTGCAATCAAATCATGGGCCAAAAGAAAATTTGGGTTTGAAGAAAATAAAATTGATAAAAATTTTGGAATTCCGGAAGACTTTGACTACATAGACTAAAACGTTCTGTGGTGGGGAGAGGCCTCCGAGCCTGTAAATATGTAAATTCTGAAACATCTCACTGGCTGTACTGGGTTGTTACTACCCTGTAACTGTTTGTTAGTTTGTTAATTCTAAATAAAGTATAAAATACAGATGTTCTTCAGCTTTTTTACCAAAAAAGGACAAAGAGCAAGCTGATCACCATGTTCCTGCAGTGTGCCTCCGAGTGGAACAGCGCAAGCAAAGCCAGCAGCCTCGGCCAAGTCAGGTTTACAGATGATATTTTTGAGGATCAAAGCCATGATAACATTTTTAGTTTCAGATATTAAATACTAAGGGTACATCTGAAGGCTCTGTTGCACAAATACACATGTGAATGGTTGGAAGCAACCTTAAAAACCTAACGCCTGCTTCACTCTTCCCCAGGATTTGCTGCAAAATGTGTGATTGATTCTCGGTACTGCATCATATTTTCAAATTTCCAAAAGAAAAAAAAGTAGAAAATTGGTGCTCCTCAAATTTGGAATTAAATAATAATTCCTCAGATACAAAGACCGCTTTCTTTTGAATTCTCCATGGGAAAGAACATGTGTATCACCTTTGTCCTGATTTATGTGTGTTTTATGAGATTACAAAGCTGTGTTCCTATAGCACATATCACCAACTGTGTGCAATTCTGGGATTTTTTAAAAAACACTTATCTTTTAAAAAAGGAATAGGTTAGAAATAACACATATCCCATGTATTTATTTCTTACTAGTTCAGCTGAGCCATTTAAAGTCTTCGCAGGCACTCCAAAATAAATTTTTTTAAAAAATTAAAATTAACACAGTAATGACCTTTACACACATGCCTTAATTTTTTCACACTGTCCAATTTGGATGTTCTTGTAAGTGACTCAAGTGAAAGACAGACTCCATATGTCTGAGATGACCCAGATGGCATCCAAGCCATGTGTTAGAGAATCCGGCCTTTGCGCTACAGGGAGTTACGTGGGGCCTACTTAACCACTTTCTAGATGGCAGGCACAGACTGGCCCATCTCCATTCCTGGGGCCAGTTTGTGCTGTCTTTGGGCAGCAGCTCCACTCAGAAGTATCTGATTTAAGAGGCAAAGGACAAAAAACAAAAACAACTCACCATAACCCTTTCCTTAAAACACTAATTGTGGGAATTCTCAAATTTCTCAGACCTTGTTTGCTGTTGATTAGAAAAGATTCTTCCTTATTTAGAAAGAAAGTGTGTATGTTCAAAAAAGAAGCCGTGCTGCCAGGCACTGTGGAACACACCCAGACTTCCAGCTACTCTGGCGGCTGAGGCAGGAGGGTGGCAAGTTTGAAGCTAGCTTGGACAACTTGGCAAAACTATGTCTCAAAAAGGACTGGGGTAGCTGGTGGAGAACCGCTGGTTTCGATCTCCAGTACTACAAAGAAGATGTTTTTCTCGTAATCCCTAAAAGATCCTGTTGTGTAAATATTCAGGCAACTCCTGCTTTTGTAATTGGATCTCTACGGGCCAGCATGAGAATGTGATGGGGTCTGCATGCCAGCTCACCAGAGAGAGGTTGTGGTTCCTTCCTGGGTCAGTAATGTGCTGGGAAGTGTTTAAAACTGGCTCTCAGGAAAGCTGAGGAGGCTGGTTTAGAGCATGCACCTATTTCCCGTGTGAGTGCTCCAGCATTGGCCGTTGTGAGAAAGCAGACGGGCAGAAGATGCCGGCACTACACCTTTATGTTGTATTTCTACTGTACGGATGCAGTAGACAGAAGTGATCTCAAGAGCATGGGTACTAATAAAGTACAGTACAATAATTGGAGAATGATGAATGGTCATCTTTATTACCTTTGTTTTGAATATAACGCCCGTCATAGTTTATATACTTAGTCTTTCAGGGTGGCTGTTTCCAGCTACCTCACTGTGAAGACAGTGCCCTTGTCTACCCTAGCACACTGGTGTTGAAAGGCTGGGATGGAACCCAGGGCCCTGTGCCTGCTATGCATGTTCTTGGCTACTGAGCTGCCCCCAGCCCACTGTCCTTCGTCTTTAAAGTTGCTTTTGATTTTTGCTCTTGACAAATTAGAGATGCTGATGAAGTAGCCTTGGGGTTTGGGTCCAGCCAACTCTAGGCAACGCTTAGTCTTTGTTGGCTTTGTTATTGATCTCAGGCTTTATGTGGTACGAGTTGGTTAGACCTCAAATCATATTTCAAGGGATCTAGGACCAACTTTGACTCGTAAGTCACACTGCAGTTGGTAATACCAGTATCTTTTCAATGACTTATGAAGTTTAAAAGGTATTTCCGCCTTACCAACCTCCTTCACATGTAATTATTTTTTACATCTCAGAAATATATCCTAATTTTGAGAGATTCTAAGAAAAAACTTCATAGTGTCATGGTAAGTTTCAGCTGCCCAGGACCAGATCAGACCCCTGGAAAAGGAGAAGGGTGCCTTGAGGTTGGGCCAGAACCGAAGCACGCCACTGGGTGAGCAGGGTTGACTTTTCCTGAGATGTCCGCCACATCATTAGGCCAATGGAATTCTAAGCTCCTGGCCTCAGAATTAGGTGCTGTCTGTCATCCTCGACCCTGTCAGACATGCTTCTCAAGCAGTCAGAAGGAAGTGAGAATAGATGGCCATCCAAAAGCAAGAACACCCCCTAGTAATTTTCAAGCAGAAATCTAAATTCTACATCTGACGATACTGCTTTTTGAGGACACGATTGGATTAAGATGTCTAGAATCTGTTTCTCCCGTGTTACAGTAGCATTTGTAGGCAGTGAAAATGTGGCAGGCAGTGGGTCCTGTCTCAAAATCATGCTCGGGCTGTGCTTCCTGGATATTGCTTGTGTGCCAGGAGGAGAATGCGCTGCATTAGGACATGATCACCATGGTGATTTACATATATTATACTATCCCTGCCTGATTTCAAACCTTACTTGTGAGAGATGGAGATGAGACAGTATGTCTGCTTTCGCCTAAAGTTTAGTGTCAAGGCTGATGATTTCTATTAACCAAAATTGATAAAACTCCCCCTCCCCAGGGGCCAGATCCAAGGCCTATGCTTTACTGTCTCTAATGACGTAAAAATAAACTAGAATTTGGGACAGACCCTGTATATAGATAGCCCACAAGCCAAAATATTTGCTGACTCTAAAAGTTTCCCCACCCCTGAAAACTCAAACCCTGACACTCCTTGAATGCAATAGGATCTGTAAGATATTTTATTTTGCCCAAACTATATTTTATTTTTAAGCCAGTTGCCACCATACTCAGACTGTAAAATGTCGCCTTGAAATTGACATTTTCAGCTTGTTTTGGAGGCGGGCAGGCTTAGTGGCTCCAACTCGTGGGCCACAAGCAGCCTGTCAGCCGGGGACCAGCACTGGCTCCTAGGACCAGAAAGAAGCCAGGTCGCGCCGTAGGGACCGGCATACAGCTTCCTGCTCAAGTCATGGGCTTCCTCCTTGGCTGGTTTGAGATTGAACTGTAACTTCAGTTTTCTAATTCCAGGGAAAAAAATCTTGGTTTCATTTTGTATTAAATTTATTAATTAATTTAGGGAGAACTTCTAACATTCAGGATAAAACATCCTATCCGAGAGCAAGGGACATTTTTCCATTTGCGCAGCTATACTTTTGTGTTTTTTCACTAGTAATTTTGTCCTTTTCTTTATGTAGATTTTTCACATTTCTTTAGTTCATCCTAAATACTTTGTTGTTGCTATTTGAAAAGTTTTTTTCTTCCATTTTATATTCTAGCATTATTTGCATATTTGAAGGCTATTGATTTTTTATGTATTTTTTTGAGATGCAAGGACTCCACCACTGAGCTACACCCCAGCCTCTGCATATTAATTTTATATCCTGCTCTTAGTCCATTTTCTGTTACTATGACTGAATACCACAGGCTGGGTAATATATAAAGAATGGAGGTTTGTACCTCAGACAAAGGACTACTATCTAGAATATATAAAGAACTTTAAAAAATCAGACCTCCCATATTTAAAGACCCAATTAAAAAATGGGCATCTGAAATGAGGAGACATTTTTAGACAAGGAAGTAGTAATAGCAAATAAATACATGAAAAAATGTTCAACATCACTGGTCATGCGAGAGATGCAGATGAAAACAACACTGAGATTCCACTTCACCCCACAAAGAATGGCTGCTATCAAGAACTCAACCAATAACAAATGCTGGTGGGGCTGTGGGCAAAGAGGAACCCTGCTCCACTGCTGGTGGGAGTGTAGACTGGTGCAAGCACTGTGGAAATCCGTATGGAGATACCTCAAAGAACTAGGATGGAAGTCCCATTTGACCCAGCTATTCCCCTGCTGGGTATCTTTCCAAAAGAATTAAAAGAATCATACCACAGCAATATACGTGCAGCTATGTTTATAGTGGCACAGTTTGTAATAGCTAAAACCTGGAGACAGCCCAAGTGCCCATCAACTGGAGACTGGATAAAGAAGATGTGGGGTTTTTTTATAAAATGGAGTACTACTCAGCCATAAAGAATGAGAAACTAGAGACATTTGT